CTTCAAATCTTCTGCCGATTCAATAAGGAAAAGTAAGAAATGTGCGTTTGTTTGATTTGGTTTTACGTTTCGCAAGCTAGCTGGAAGCTACCTCACATGAAAGAATGCAAAGTCCCTATCTGGATTCGAACCTACAGCGGTTTATTTATCCCCGTAGACTGGGGCATATCCAAAAGAATTTTGTGAAAAAAAATGAAATACGGCTATTTTCCTTTTCAAATCGGTCACTATTTTTCTTTGAAATGATGCCGAAAACCTAGGGAACGTGATATTGCTACACTGTATATGCATGGTAACATTGGAGTTTCCAATCCTTAAAGTCGCTGTCTTTATTCAGTGGCGGACTCTGGTCCTGGTTGCAGGGCTGCAGCCTACTGATAGTTTACTAGCTGGGCTGGAATATTTTTTATGACATTGGCAGTAGTGTACTCCTTTATCAAAACATTTAATTGGTATCATCCGGTTGTTAATCTCCTGCCTGGGGGATTGTTAGAGATCTTTATCAGTAAACTTGCTTGGTGGACTGGACGCTTAAGGTGGCATATTCGATTAGTTAAATAAAAGTAAAATTTACTTTTTTCCCCCTATTTAAGATTATTTGAAAAGTGTGATTTATAGAAATTTGAAAAGTTATATAAAGGTCATGTGGAAGGAATTTCGCTAGAATAGCTGGTTTTACTACAAACTTGACTGTTAATACTGTTTGTTAACTGTTAATAATCTTTTCTACATTTCTACATGGCCGTCGCATTTATATGCCTTGAATATTCTTAAATTGTAATGTTTTCCCTATATCTTAAAATAGATTCATTGATAGAAAAATTCCTTTTCGAACAAAAATGATAATTTAATAATAATGTAACTTGGTGACGTAAATTATAAATAAACAAAATGTAAAATAGAGTGATTAAATAATCAAAAAGCTACAATAAAAATAATAAGAAAGTCAAGGAAAAAACACTATTTTCAACCTCAGGTTCCAAATTTTCTCAGTCCATGGTGGGGGGGGGGAATACTCCTCCCACACCTACCTCGTTGCATGTACAAGGTCCTGGTAATAATAGAGTAGGCTCATTCTGTATTTGTAGTAATTTACTTATAAAATATAGACTGTGGGGTACCAGGAGATTGCCGATGCTGGCCTTAGCTTAATAAACACACTTTTTGTCTATCATGTTATTTTCTCTACTTTATGTCAAAATCTGCCCTTTTTTGGCCCCCCCCTCCCCCAGCCAGCCATGTTCTGTATCCACTCCTGTTATTGATAGTAATTACATTTCAAAAGGGTTTCTTTGGCCCTCATGTTATATCTTACATATTAGTTTATAAAAGAAAAATCCACCCTTTCATGTTTAAGTATTAATTTAAGAAAATTAAGTTCTATTTCGCAGGCGTGTTGTCCATCATTGCTTAGGACAGGTTCATGCTACTGTTACAAAGAAACATAATCTATTTCCCGAAGCAACTTTATACTTTGAATAATAACTGTCCATTTTGTAAACAAAAACTCCATTTTGTAAGACTATCTACGTTCATGGAATGACACTACTATGTCACATTGAAGGTTCCATGATAACCGCCGTATAAACACATCTTGGGATGTTTCTAAATTCCAAATTTCACCATTTTTGTGTTTAAATGTTGAATTCTGATTAAGCCAGTGCTAGGGGGCGCGGACGGTAACTTGCACTTTCCAATACCGTCCAAGAACAGGCTCAATCAAACCGAGCCTACAACATTTTACAATTTTGCCGTGTAGGACTCTCTTTAGTTATTCTGTTTTTCACTATTTTATTATATATATATATATCGATGAAATAGGAAAATAGTTAAATTATCATCTTCATTTTTACAATTAGTATTGTTAATATCATAATTATAATTGTTATCATTATCATCATCATCATCATCGTCATTATTATTATTATGTAACTTAACGTTTACGTGTAAAATATTACATGTCAGTATAAGTAAATATATCTATCTCCATTAAACCGTAATTTGAAAAATAAATGTCCTTTTCGAAGCTGATATCTCCATTTCATTGAGACCAGAAACGATTATTTATAAATATTTATAAATATTCATTATAAAATATTTATGCGAAAAAGAATTAACCTGTAGTTTCATAAATTAGATCAAATTTCCGTTTTCCAAGATGTATCAACTATTGCAATTAAACCATATTTTTTAAAAACAAATGTCCATTTCGTAGACGAAAACTCTATTTCGTAGATACCACATATGATCATTAAAAAAATATAAACATTAATTTGAAAATAGCTATGCCAAATAGTTTTATCTGTAGTTAATGTCATATGTTACATGTCCGTTATTTTAAATGATACTTATTATTGCAATTAAACCATTTTTGAAATACAGATGTCCATTCCGTAGGCGAAAACTCGTAGCATTTTGGAATATACTCGTGTGTATAAATACGTTAAAAAATAATTTGTAATTTTATGTCACATATTACATGTTCATTATTAAAAATGATTTAATTCATCTCAGTTAAACAATTACTTGTAAAATAAGATGTCCATTCCGTAGGCGATAAAGTCGATTTCGCGAAATGGAGTCCATTACGCATTCTATAACTTCCGGAATTGGACATACTCATCCGCTTATTAATCCTTTCGTTGTTATTTTAAGACTACGTGATGTAAAGAGCGTAAATAAAATCGGAAAAGTACTATTTCAGAGAAATCACACTTATCAAGGATATTTACTTTTAGGTATTATTTACTTTCTTGTTTTTATATTCTTTAAACAAAATATTTGACGACTGAAATTATAATAAACTATTCTCAAAGTTTGTTTTTCTTTATATTTGCACTAATTAGTAATTACTGAATATTGTCGTTGACAATACAACAGAAAACAATAAGTAAACATTTCAATCGTAAATGATGTGTAAATACAAAGAAGAAAATTTATGAAAAATCTGAAGTTTTAAAGTGCTTTACACATGATGTATAACAAAGATAACTTAAAATCTAGATCTATGTCCATTCTAACACGTCAAGATAAAAATATTGTTGGACTCTATTTTTGTGGTTAATATTGTTTCGCAATAGCAACGTTCTTTAAAGGCTGTCGTTAAATCTACCGTTTGCACAAACATTTTGAGTATGATTAATTTAAAAAAAACTTTTATAAAGATTTATTGTGTTTATTTTATTTCTTTCTATATTAATAAAGCGAAGTAAGGAGTATATAAAGTGAATAAAAGAGATATTTAACTGTTTTGCAACATTGACATAGCGTTCTTTTTACGGTTTTTGCACGCTCTGTTTGGTGCTGCATTGTGACCTCACGTTAACAACACTTCAAACGCCTGTACAGCGTTAATGACTGAATTAAAGATATTGGTGTTCGGATTTATTTTTTGGTAAACCATTTTTATCATTCTAGATAGATTTCAGAGCAAAATGCAACAAAAAATTGCTTCTTATTCATCAGATTTTAAAAAATGGCACCGTCAATGGGTCAGTTTGCAAATACGGAGGGAGGAACTTACAGACGCGAGTGTATCTGCTGTGAAATATATCACGCTCGGCCTTCTTCAGAAACATACTTTTAACAAAGAAAGCGCAATCCAAATATTGTTTGATAACAAAAAGGCCAATCATTTACAAGTGGTCACAGATATTGAAAATGGTTTTAAGAAAATATGAAAGTATGTCGACCATTTTTATGTTTTATGATAGCACTTTTTTGCGATTTTGATTTGTTATCTTTTATTTGTATTTAAAAAATATTCAGTAAGAAGAAACCTTTTTTGTACTTTCCTTCACTATCTGTTTCAAAAGTGTCTTTAAATATTCATTTTTTTTGTTCTTTTAAAATTAAGACTATAAAAATTCGAAATAAGGTCAAGATAAACCCAGTTATGAAAAATGATTTACGACATGTAAATACCACAATGGTTGTTGAAAGTGTTTAACATTTTTTATACTTAATAATAATTGTCAATAGTGAAAAGGGAGTAACGCTACATATATATAATGGACAGTGAGAAAAAATATGTGACATATAAAAGTTGTAAATTGCACTTTAAATGATTAGAATAATAACATATGTCATTGCGGTTCAGATCGTAATATCCGTCCCTCGGGGACGTTCTCATTTAGCGGTAACGAGACTTGCCGACTTACCGCTAATGAGCGGCTTCCCGAGGGACGGATTAGTTATATAATTATGTCATATGTTACGGTTCGAATAGGAATATCCCTCCCATGGGTACCTCGCCCATTGGGCGGTAACGAGGATTGCCGAGTTACCGCCCATGGGCGGGTTCCCGAGGGACGGATATTACGATCCGAACCGCAAGCATATGTCAGATATTTTTTCTTGCATATACTGCCATATTCTTTCATATTTAAAATGGTTTGCCTCCTATCTATTCCTAAACTATCTTTGTTTCCGACATATCATTTAAAAGACCTTTTCATTATTTATAAGGTTAAGGCCCAGCCGACATTGTTAAAATTCTAAAGGTGGAGTTTTCTGCACATACCTTTCGTGTTCTGTTTCACTGAAATAGGAACACCTCTGGCGTCATGGCAAATACTGTATTAAAATATAATAATCTGTGACTCTATTTTCATTTCAGATCGTCTCTTCCCCTTGAAATACCACAATGAAGTTGTTCAACAAGAAAATATTAAAAACCTTTGTACGGTTAGTGTTTTAGCTTATGATAGCATATATCTACAACTTCTAAGCGTTTTCATCAAGTATATTACGCAATGTCATTCTTAACAATTTAGTATCCATGCACAAAAACTTTTAACAATGACAACAACATTTTAAAGAAGTTTCCAGATGAAAAAAATAATGATGCGATCTTAAAAAGTATCACACTTGTGTAATATGTGCTCTGCATTTGCTTTTATAATAGCTACGTTTAACTTCAATAAGCTGGCTCAAATTTGGCATCGAAACTACGTTTATTACACTCCTTGTTAAGTATATGTTCTTCATCATGCTTTCAAATGTATTGCTACAGGGTGGTTGCAGTCGGAATATGTCTTTCTGTCATTGTTTCACTACACGAAATTGCAGAAAGAACAAATACGTCTAAAAGTTGGATAGACAATACTTTACTCGTACAAAAGGTTTTTCATGACAATAAAACACGTTTTTCTGGAAACCATGACGTCATCCATGACACAAAGTCGAAGCCTTCACCAGTCACTCATATTGGATTTTTGAAAGTGCACAAAGCGGCGAGCACAACAACACAAGCAATCTTTTTGCGTTTTGGTTGGCGTCGAAATTTAACATTCGTGCTTTCCCCGGAATATAACAAATTTGGATACCCAAATATCATAAGTACAAACGAGTCAATTACAAAATATAATACTCTACCTCCTCCGCCGGGAAAAACTTTTGATATCTTATGCAACCATGTTGTCTATGGAGATAAGGAATGGTCTACAGTTTTGCCCTCAGACACGGTTATGATTGGAACAATCCGCGAACCATTCGGGCATTTCAAATCTGTTTTAAACTATTTCAATCCAAGAAAAATAATATTCATCAAAACTAGCATAGATCCTACAGATCCTGTTGGAACCTTTTTGAAAAATCCAAGAAAATATGAAGGAGCTAAAGTAGTTCGACATTCGTTCACAAACAATCGTCTCGCCTTTGAATATGGCGTTGCTCCGGAAATCATAATCAACAAAGACTTTGCTGCGTTTGACAAATATCTAACTGAAGTTTTAGACAAAAAGTTTAAATTGGTCCTTCTTGCCGAACAGTATGACGAGTCGTTGGTTTTAATGAAACGTAAATTGAACTGGTCACTTAAAGATATAATGTACGCTATGAAAAATGTAAGGAGTGTAAATAAGGAGGATAGGTTCGTTTTTAAGAAAGAACATAGAGTTCTGCATAGAAATTATTCTATATTTGATTATTTATTGTTTGAATTCTTTGAAAACCGATTGAACAAGCAAAAAGAAGCAGAAGGGTATGATTTTCAAGAAGAAGTAGATAACTTTAGACAAATTCGAAAGTTTGTAGAAAATTTCTGTCACATAGTACCAAAATATATAAAAGCAGTAAGAATTGACAAAAGTAGATGGACAGAAAGTTTTGACATCACACGTAGTGACTGTGAACTAATGCATCAGGGTGAAATCTCGTTTGTTCAAATGATCAGGAAAAGACAGTACGGTTTTGCCACTTGGAAAGGGGTCAAACCAGATTTAAAACAAATCTAAAGAAGAACATGTACACCCTTAAATATTGACCAGTCTGAAGAACAAATCTAAAGAAGAACATGTACACCCTTAAATATTGACCAGTGATCCTTCAAATCCTTTATACTCATTAAAAATTGAAGTTTAACGGAAGCGAAAACAAAAGAGATATGATTCTTCTGTTTTCATTGCTTTACTTTCTGTTCTGTATGATATGAATCCAAAAAATTGCATTGCTTTTAAATAAGAAGAGTTTATGAAATCCTAAGATGTGTTTGATAGTACGATACCTGATGGAGTTGGAATATATGTTTTTGTCATCTCTCATACAAAACAACACCCTAAGCATGGTTGACTGTATTTGTTTGACTGTTTTCAGTTTCGAGCTAAAAACAGATTGTCTTGTTTAAACTACCAACATGGGCCTTTCCGTGACTAACTCAAGAATTGTGAACTTGTATTTTTTTAAAAGTCGTGTGGATAAGTGGAAATACCAGGAAAATTCTGCTTGACATAGGTAACTACCGTTTACATGAAAACACAAATATATGACTTTTGTTTGCCGAAAGTCTTGTGAGAATTTCACCACTGCGCTTGGAACTCGAACTCGAATCCCCGACATTTGTAGTTTCAAACGATGTTATCACTTGACCATGCTCCATCTCTGACTTGTTCTTATTTGCTTGGCTGTCTTAAGAGTACGTCTGTTTACTTCGCCGTTCAAAAGTTTACTTTCTATTTCCATGTCACGTGGACGATCAATACGAATTAATTCGTGTAATTCTCAAACCAAACATCAATTATTACATATATATTACATATCTACTCTTTTTACGACGCGGTCCGTACTATGTAAATTCAACCGTTATTGCATGCGTAACCTGCGTAGGGCAAGAGATCATCGCCCTACATAGAACTGAGGAAAAGTTCATAGACAATTTTGTGTGAGTTGACAGTAAAAAATATATTTAAAAAGCAAAGTTCGTAGATCTTTCTAGTTCACCTTGTAATAGTTCATATAAAATCTGTAATTTATGTTATCCGAATCATATGCTTTGTCCGAACATGAATTGTAAAAGTAATGCTCACCTTATTGCAGAATTTTAATCCATATTATTTCCATTATTAATTATTTTATGTTAATTTACACTTAAACAACACAGTTTAGAACATTGTAAATTATTTTGTATCTGTTTAAATCCATTACTGTGTGTACAAATCATACGGAAAATTTTGCACTTGAATTTAGCGGCCATATTGACTTGTTTAACTACGGTGCAAGTATAGTGTTGTCATCTTGATATATATATGCTAATATTTAATTTTGTGTTGTAAGTTTAATTAAGAATTGATTGTTAACGTATATTTTTGCATTACATATGAAATACTACAATGAATGGTTGTTATATTATATTTGAGAGTGATTAATTGTAAGGAACTATTTAAAGGGACTCCACTAAGGTTTTTTGACATGATGGGACTGAAAATATTCTTTCCAAATAAACGTACTATTTGATGTAGGTTTAGACCACTTATCTTTGTGCAAAATTTCAGATCATTCGCGCACTTCGTTTTTCAAGAATAATTATTCCAATTGTAAAAAAATGACCCAAAATGAAAAGCGTTTAAACGCTTTTCACTAAAATCGGGCTAAGAAAAGCATAAAAAATCGATTTTCAATTTATTTTAAAGTATTTTTCTTATATATCTTTGCATATGTTTCTGTTTAAAGTGCCCCAGCTCATATATGTAAAAATTCAAATGCTATGTTTTTAGGCTTTCAAACCTCAGTGGAGTCCCTTTAAGGCACTTGTGCGTAAGAAAGTTGGCAAATGTTGGCAACTATATTATTTCTATATGTCAGGAGTATTTTTGATATATTGATAAATTAATGATTATCAGTCATTATTTAGGAACCTCTTGGAATGTTTAACATGTATTACATTGTATGTATGTATGCCGAGTGAATGATGTTTATTTATTTGAAATGAATGTGGAACCTTTTTACGCATTTTTATGTATGCAAGTTCTGATTGGCTGATGCTATGTTTGCCAACATCCGACAGCTATATAAGGGCGGCTGTAACCGAAAATGGCACCAGTTGCAAGCTTCCAATAACTTCCTTAGTAACCAAGGCACTGGGGATTATTTTCAAATAAACATCTTATTAATCTATTTTATTCAGAAATTTACAAACAAAACATGTTATCCCTAAATAAAACAATAACCCTTTAAGTGTTTTAGTCCCGTTTATTTACAATAAAACGAAATAATTCTGTTTGTTTACTTATGCCGAGTTTTGTTTACATAGCAAGCCCGTAGTCAAGCTTTTTAACATCAACACTATGCAACTGGTGGTTCCCTTTACAGTAACAACCGCACGTCTTAGTAGATAAATTTTAAGTTCTTCCATAATTTATTATTATTATATTTGACGATATAAAATTGAATTCGTTATCTTCATCAATACAGAAGGAAAACGTTAATGGTGTGTCTTATAACTATTAGTTTTCACACAAACTAAAACCCCTAAAAGTCAGGACTATTGATTAATTTTATGTTATACATCAACATCGAACCTTAGCCTGAATCTTTTTTGCTATGAGTATATTGCTAGCCAGCACTGATTAAAGAAGTCCAACACATAAATTACATAATGGCATCTCCTGACCCTGATATTTCTTTTGATGCTCAAAATGACTACCAACATCAACCTGATAATCCACATAATGAAGAAAATCAGTTTGACAACGAAAGCATATCCAGCACTTCATCTACTCATGAGCTAAATACTTATGAAAATGAAAGAGATACATCAGCTTCATATAAAAATAATGATCATACACACTCTTCACAAACACTGAGAATGAATCAACATAATATAGTAAAGACATCAAATAACTGTGGTGATCATTTTCCATCTTATATGACCCAACCATCATTAATCACAAAATCAATAAAGCTTCATTCTTATGATGAATCTAAATGTTTGAACAGTATTAATCAAACTTTGAAGATTGCTCAGAGGTTGCTCGTTAAGATTATCGAACCAGAGTCCTAACACTATCAGCATGTTTACGTTGTTCAGCAAGAACATATTATATGACCCTTTCCGCCGAGGTACGCCGCGACTAGAAGTTGCTTGTTTCAAGATTGCGTGACCGTTTCGGACATTTAAAGCATCAAGCACATTGGTTAAATAAACTTGAAAATAGAAAGCGACAAAGAGGTGAAAGTATAACGACTCTTGGTGTTGACCTGATTCAACTTTCACAAAAAACCTATTCTGATCTTGATTGTAGGGCTCAAGAAAAAATAGCTTTGAACCAGTTTTATCGCTCGTTATCAACTGATATGAAATGTCGATGCGTAGACAATAATTGTTCAATAGTCACAGAGGCAGTCTCTGTGGTAGAAAAATATGAATGCATTTTAGGCTCGCAAAGTGGTACTGTTCGGGCACTTGAATTAATGCTAACCAACAAATCATCAGAAGATCTAATAACAGTAATCGAACGCCTTGAAGGTAAAGTAGATAGGCTTGAGTAAAAGTATGATAACAAAAATAGAGCGCAAAATGCGAAAAATAATCACAACTCTTTTGGTTGAATTCGCCAAATAACTCGTGGAGATCTTGTCCCAAAAATGCAAGAGTGAATCGAAATGTGAACAACATTGCATTTCAAAATAAAAGGCGCACTCCATCATATGAACAAAGGTTTCAGTATCCTAGTAATAACCAAAACCGAGCGCAAAGTACTTCAAAAGATATGCAGAATCCATTTTCTAAGTTCTCAGGCAATCAGGGAAACTAGAAAAAGCTGGTTCTAATGTCTTAGAGTCAGCAAATGATACAATTAAGTTAAATGGGCCAATTGTAAATAATTCTACAAATCAAAATGTTTCCTCTGTTAGAATTGGTTCTAATTTTAACCAATATGATAATGGTTTCTACACAACTTGTAAATTAAATAATGCTACTTTTGACTGTGGAGCTACTTCATCTTTGATTTCACAGAAAAAGCTCCATGAAATTGATTCAACCGGTCAATTGTTAAAGATATTACCTGTTACAAGTATACTGGAATCACAGTTAACCTTGCACCAAGTTATCCAGCCTCAAGTCAATCCTGTCCCTAAAATTAGTCAATCCGGCCCAAAAATTGGTCAATCCAGCCCCAAATTATTATTATTTGGTCAATGCGCGGTTAATCCGCCCACAAAATCTGTTAACCCGGCCCCAAAATCGGCCAATCCGGCCCCAAAATTGATTTTCAGGGAATATTTTATCAAATTAAATTATTATGTTTTAGACAATATTTTGCTTATTTCATTTTCCCTTATCTCTATAAATGATATATTTATTACAAACATTTAAAAGGGGCGTCCGTGGCCGAGTGGTTAAGATCGTTGACTTCAAACCACTTGCCCCTCACCACTGTGGGTTCGAATCCCGACAGGGACTTTGGATTCTTTCATTCGAGGAAGCTATCCAGCTAGCTTACGGAACGTCGGTGGTTCTATTCAGGTGCCCGTTCGTGCCTGAAACAATTCACGGAAAGGCACCTGAGGTCTTCCTCCACCAGTAAATCTGGAACGTCGCCAAATGACCTATACTGTGCCGGTGTGACGTAAAACCCAATCAAACAAACACATTAAAAACAAGATTTTCAAAAAATGTATAAATAATTTCATATTTACAAATAAATAAAACATTACCAAATAAAGATAATGAACCATATAATAAAGTTACTGAAAACATTATTAGGCTATAATTTGTAGGTAGTTTAATTGTCCCAGTAAAGGCTTTTATACATAATAGTGATAGTGAATGATTATATAAATATAGATTAGATGATCAAATAAGTAAGAGCAATCAATGGAAAAAGAAATATCAATTGTGCAAAAAGCTTTGTCTATTTCGTATCTTTATTTGATGTAAATTCGAAACTATATTTTCATAAATATAAAATGGCTTTAACTTATGATGTCTATTTTGTTACCGTTACTATACTCAATC